TGTGTGTGGGTGATTTTCCGACCACACTGCCCGCTTAGAATCCAGCTGGAGAGCACTGGCAGAATAGATGGCACCTGACTGACCTGCAACAGAAATATAAGAATCCCGCGGTGGTTTCGACCACCCGGGGGCACTCCGACGATCAAGTCAGTATATCTTTCAAAGATAAATCAAGTATTCAACTCACAAGCTTGAGTATAAAAACATACCTTAGACCCATGGGGGTGCCTCTCTTTTATAGCCAATACAATCCTAGTCCCAAAAGGAGCCTGGCCCTAATGGACTTAGGATTACTGCTAATCTGGGACTCCCAGTGGGATTAGGATAAACTCTCTAAGAGTCTTATCTTTACCCAAACTGAAGTCTTCTTCCAATCTAGGACTCTTGTCCATATCTAAGTTGAGTTCCCTCTTTATTTTAGGACTCTTGTCCCTTATCCACTTATCTCGGATTCCGATATCTTCGGAGATAACCTCGGCCTTGCCGAGATCACCTCGGCGTCACAACCAGGACACGTGGCACCTCGGCTGACACGTCGGCGTCACCTTGCCACGTGTTGGTACTCAGAAAATATATCCCCACACTTATATAAACAAATTTTTTATAGATAATATTTTTGCTTTTGTGATAGTTTCATTTCAAATCAAAATATTTATCATTGAGTCTTGCTAACATCTACCAACTACAAAAAAATAAGTAAATAAATAAATAAATTATGACTTTAAAAATGGTTAAATAAGCAAATGCCCCCCCTCAACATCATTGTATACAATTTTACCCCTTTAACTTTAAAAGTGTTTATTTACACTCCTAAACTTACAAATGTCCCCTCTACAGATGAAAGTGTTGCAATTTTTAAGTTGATAAGAGTCTAAATGTACACTTTAAATTAAGAATTAAGGTGATATTTAATAATAGTTGAGAAATGTTCATATAATTAATTCTTTCAAAAATGTCAATACAAAAAAACAATAAATTATATATATATACAAATTATTTGAGGATCATTTTTTATATTGAAAGAGTTTATTTTTACAAATAAAAACAATAAATAAACAAAATAATATATCTAAAATGATGTTTTGATGACTTTTTTAAAATTTAAAGTAATTGTAATAATTGTTTTGTTTTAAAATGAATGGCCCAAGAGCACTATTGACTTTATTCACTCAAATAAAATACGAGGATTGTGACTTTATTGAATCATTATCAAATTGTATCAACAAAACGTAAAATTTTACTGATTTAAAATAATAAAAATCACAAATTTAAATATTCTTTGTTTGAAGGGTGAGGGAATTGATTTGCTAGGGCTCATTAAACCGAAGAAAGGCTAGTAGTGTTCCCATACAATCGAACCCCACTCTATCATCCAATGAGCCTCCAAAAATTGTGCGGCCCAAACGTGTGCCCATGAGTGTGGTGGCGCGTACTCACAATCATCGATTCGTAATAACACCAACACACTTGACCTTAGTAAACAATTGAAAAAGGGTAAAATAGTCTTTTGTTCATTTATCCTATCCAGTCCGTCCAACCAAACGTTGGATTCACTGAAAATAGTCCTATCCAGACATCTAATCCCATGAAAAAACAAACACAGGATACATATCCAATCCGACCAAATAGTCCGGGGGATTCACAGTCCCAGGACTCAAGTCCGATGGATTCTAATCCCCCCTTTTCCAGTCCGTCCAATCAAACACACCCTAAGTGTTTACCAACTCTCAGATGTCTCTAATTGATCAGAAAGTTATCTTTCACTACCACGGCAAGGGCAATGTTCTGCAATTTTACTGTATTCAATTATATTGATTTGTTATATCAAGCCATTGAATCCGTGCATACAGATAAAACTACGTACTACACTATCTTTCCAGAGCATTTTATGTGTGTTAGGACAGGCACACATTAGTTTGTTTGGTTCTTAAACATCTTGAATGTTTCAATTAAGCAGTCGGTTCCTCTTGGGGCTTTTCTTGCTGTTTAAGGTGTCATTATAGTTTTGACCCTTTTGGGTAGCTCTTGTTTTCTCTTGGGACACATTAACTAATGATATAGTTGACACGTTTCCACAAGCACCTTGCGAATTCAACCTTACAATTACTCATTCTGCCATGACAAATAAAATGGCTTAATTCCCTGTCAAAACATGGTGACACCTTGTATGAACGTGTAAATATCTTACTTGTATTCTTGTTTAGTCAATCTTCTGTCTTTTGACTGGCAAGGGAAATTTATCAGGTCCATTGAGAAGCCGAGCTGCAAAAGCAATTGGATTCATAGATATGATGATTGATTACTCGTTAGAAAACGCTCCTTTGCAAAAAGAGCTATCTGCAGGTAAATCACCTAGAGCTTGTGCTTTTCCTTGCATTTTCCCCTCCTATAATATTTATCTTGCCCATTATAACTGAGTTTGAGAAACATATGAAACAGATGAGGTGGGAAACACCGCTGCCTTCCTGGTATCGCCATTGGCTTCTGCCATCACTGGTGCTGTTATATACGTTGACAACGGTCTGAATGCGATGGGTGTGGGAGTGGATAGTCCTATATTTAAAGACCTTGACATTCCGAAGAATAAGCATTAGAGGTATCGCATGGTTTACAGGATAGAAGAGGAGATTTGAAATCTTAGGTTAGTGGTATTGTCGCTGTTTTTCTCTTCTTTAACCCCCTTATGGTCATCACCCAAGAATGGCTTGGGTAGCGGACCCCATTTTGTGATGAGAGCATCTGTTTCTTCCAAAGGGACTTTCTTCTTGTTTCTGATAAAATTGTGGAAAAAGATTTTTGAGTATGACTTCCCATTATGTGCTCTTTGTTGAATTTAAAACAATTAATCTCCAACTGTGAAATCCGACAAAGAACTTGATGGAATGCAGGAAATACAAACAATTTGATGTGTTTCTCATTTTCTCTGCTCCAATTCTTTTCATGTGGTATTTTTGATGTGCTAAAATGCTCTCAACAGTGCTTGTTTGTATTTTCCTGCTGTACTGGCATCTCTGGGCTACATTTGACTAGGTATGATTTAAATCATCGCTCTAAAAACAATCACTGGAGGCAGTGTTTGGGTATCTCTACTAATACAAGGTGGCCTAATTAATGAGGTTTACGTATTAAGCATGATCCTCCTGGTGTTGTGGATGCGCAAACCCTTCTTAGAGTAATTTCATTTTTCACTAGCTAAAATATAAAAAAAGATATTTCTTATTTACTAGCTAAAAGATATTTCTTTATTTTGTTTACTATTTTTTTAAATTTTTTTTTATCTATATACTCAAACGTTATTTTTTATTTTACAAATCATATACAAACTATTTAAAGAGCTTCCCAATGCTCTTCAAATGTAGTTAATTTTGAATTTTTTTTGTTAAAGAGCTATTGTAATAGCTAACTTGTTTAGAGTGACTAAAATATGATGATAGTAACTATAATAGCTAATGTAAAATGCATTGATAGAGAGAGAATAAATTGTATGTATTATTGATTGATTGATATGTTGCTATATTTACAATTCCTATATATGGAAGAAAATGTGGTAGTAGGTGTAGGTGGTAGGTGGAGTGAAGTGGAGGTGGTAGGTGGAGGGTGTGGTAGTGGAGATGATAGGTGGAGTTGGTGGTGTGGTAATTTACACAATTTACATTTTACATTAACAGCTAACAAACTTTATTTAAAGAGTCTTTTGGAGATACTCTAAGAGTAGTTCCAACAATAATCTTTATTTTTTACGAGTTAAAATATTAAAAAAAGGAATTTTTTATTTTGTCTAATTTTTATTTTTTTTTTAAATTTATATACTCCAAAGTTAAATCTATTTTATCTATCTATATATATTGTTTAAAAAGCCTTCCAAAGCTCTTCAAATGTAATTAATTATGAAAAATTTTGTTAAAATAACTATTGTTATAACTAGCCCCATTGCATATTTTGAGAAATAGATTAAAAATTAATTTTTCGCCTTTTTTTGAGGAAATATGTAAAAACATAGAGAAGTAATGTGACTCAAAAAAATCAAAAAAAATTAACTTTTTGACTTTTAATCCAATTGCTAATAGCTGACAAACTTCATTTTAAAGAGTCCTTAAAATATCCTAACTCTTTTTTCTTTCTTAACAGTTCATTTCGGTTGAGGGTAGAAGGGGAACTAGATTTGGAATTTCATTTGGTGATTATCGGGACTGAAACCTGGATTGATTTGGTCAGGTATTGAAAACATTGGCCTTGGGCACGGTAGTTGCATTCATTTCCTTGGCTTTAGTGTGCCAGGCCCTGCATGAATCACTTGCTGACTTACCACAACAATCAAGAGAAAGAGAAGAGTACTGTAACCATTTTTACGACTTACCACAATCAACGATTCTAGTTAGAATGAAGTCAATTTCAACAAAAAAAAATTTTCCCAACAGAGCACCCTAGAGTCTAGACACCTAACCTCTAACCAAGGGAAAATGTAATACAAAAGTTAGAACCTAACTAAAAAACTAATAGTAGATAAACAAAAACTTATCTAACTGCCTAGCTACAATATACATCACAAATCATAATCCAAAACATATATATTTACGGCGAGGCGTCAAACAGAAAGGAACTCAAGTTTACGCTTGCACCTCCGGATGCCACTATTGGCATCACCAATCCCAGAAGAGTCTCCAACAACAACTGATAGGTTCTTTACAGTCGCCAGATGCTGCAATGGTGCCTGACAATCATTTGCATTTGCAGCAGCTGGCTTCCCTTGGGAACGACTGCCAATGTTCGAAATATCCCTATGGGGCATCAACTCCTCTCCAACTGCCAAAAAATCCATCATCAACTGCAAAACCACACACATATACAAGCACAAATTACATTTGTAGGAAATAAACAATCGAAGCACATAAAGAATTTTCAAAAAGATGTTAATAATTACATAGTTCACAAAACAGATAATGGTTTGTGTACCCACTCAATAATAAGGGGGTATATGCTTCAATGGTTCGAAAAATTAGAATTTTTTTGAGTAAATCATAAAACACTATTGGTCGGGTACACAATCACATGCTATTCTGCACCCATGTAATAATAATCTCTCCACTTGAATAAAGTATTGGGAGTCGACAGACAAATACTTGCTTTCCAAATTTTCATCATAAAGATGACAATATAAAAGAGGTTGATGACCACCACATAATTCACAAGACAAACAAAGCTAGAACAGAGTATTTGGACAGACAAATACTTAAAACTTTAAAAAAATCATCATAAAGATGACATTTATACCCAATCTAACATCTAAGTTCTAGAGAAGTTTCATACCATCTCATTTACATGACGATTTCTATTTATATGCACATCAATTACAATAAAATTCTTTAGTTTTGTACCTTCCAATCCTTGAAATCATATCTGAAGACAAAATGGCTGTAAGCAACTTTACCCGACATAACAGAAGGGGCATCAGCAGCATTTGTTGGCGCTGAAAAGAAAGTCAATAACTACAAATATAATACAAAAACAAATAACTAAACAATATTCTCAAATGGATGTTGTTATGAGTTGTTGAGTCTTACAAACAAGATGAGAGCCCTTTTCATCCACAGCCATTATAACCCGCCCATCTTTGACCAAGAAAGACAGAGCAAATAAATTTTCCACTGTCTGTGCAAAAGATTTTCTATTCAATATCAAACTTTCAAGTTTAACCCTTCTCTTGCTCTTCAAGATGTCGAACATGGTCAACATATTCTCGTCAGTATCTGTCCTCTTTTCTTCTGCCCCAGTATTACCGAGCTATTGCAACAAGAAATTTACATGAATGAATACATACTGTTGAAAGAACCTGGCACCATTACTAGATTTGAATTTAGTTAAAATCTCATGTATAAATAATGCAATGCACTCACAAAAGATTATTCGACTACGCAAATATTAGAATGAGCTAAAGAAATAAATCATCATAGTAAACAACTAAAATTGTGTGTCTAAGTACTTAACGCTGTTACATTCCTAAAAATTATGTAAAGAAATTTGAGAAATTTAGCACTTGGTAAATAAACAAATGCTAAAACTTGAAAATCATCAAGTTTTCCACAGTCAATATATATAGCAACACAATTATATATACCTGTTGGGGCTGAGAACTTTCAGTTTGTTTTGCCCGTTTTCTGTAAACTGCAACGTTCCGCTGCTTAACTTCAGTTTGCATGGGTCCAAGCCTTGAGCGAAATAGGGAAAACAGAAAGTGTTAACAAAACAAAAAGTCGCTTACAAATAAAGATGATGAGATGAGGAAGCAAAAAGTCCCTTAATTATTGCTGCCTTTTTTTAGATTAGAGAGGGGTGACAACACTCACATGGTGCAACACCCTCGGAAATTCTTGAAAATGGGTGAAACAGCAAAGCCAATTTCTTTCCAGAGGATAGAGTTCTTGTGGGCAGCTTCAAAGTCCGAGGTTCCTTTTCTTCCTTGTACTTTTGTGAAGTCTCTCAGCAAACATGATATGAAATCCGATGGGGGTAACACCTCCTCCGATATGTGATTTAACAGAGGTCAACAAAGTCGTAGAAAGATTCATTAGAGCCTCTCCATCTGCAACTTGCTCCCTTGGCTTCTGAACTGAAAAAATAAATAAATTTTTTAAAAATAAATAAATGTAGTTGCAATGCCTACAAACCACCTTACATGTGATCTTTTGGAAAACCTTCACGCGCCCTACTCATATAAAAAATTAATGCGTTCAAAGAAGGTCTATAGAGACCATGTTTATGCAAGTCCTCCACTTGAGTCATGATGGACTGGAACTTGTTCGAATCCACACTTGATATATCATCTCTTTTTTCTACACATCATCATCATCATCATCATCATCATCATTGATTATTAAAAATATAAAACAAAACAATATATTTAAATAAATAAATAAATAATCAAACAAAATCCAGAAGTAGAAAAATAGAAGAAGAAGAAGAAAATACCGCGAATAACATGGATGATCTTGAGGTATTGAGAACGAATAAGTCTCCGACACGCATTGTCTTGATGAGTGAACTTGTCAACCGACGATGACTCACCTCTGTTTCCTCTGACTACCTTCACCTTCGCTAAACTCTCCTCCATGATTTTCGACTTTGAAGAAACTATTTTTGAAAAAAGAGGCTCTCCCTCTCCCTCCTCAACCCATGAAATTTTGAATATGATGAATATGATTCTTCTTGTGATGGAGTGGTGTGCAACACCTATCCTAACCTAACGATTGGGGTCTAGGCCTATTTTCGCAATAAAAAATATTAGACATCAAGAATTTTATCAAAATTTTTATTAAAAGATCTTTGGGAAATGGATTATAATCTATTTTTTAAATTATAACTTACTTTTTTCTCTCATAAAAAATTAATTATAATCAATTTTTTGTCAAAAAATTAATTATAATTATCTTTCTAAAATAGTCCTAAATATCTTACATAAAAGATATTTGATAAGACTTTTGAGAACTGTAATATTACTTTTTGGCAATAAAAAAATCACTTGTTTCTAATTTTGTTTGTTTTTAGTAATTTTTTAAAAATTATATCAACATTTTTTTTTTTTTGGATTTGTCTTGTCAAGAATAATTTAAAAAGTTTTTTTTTTTAATATTAAAGACGAAATTAAGTAAAAAAATTATTTAGTGCTTGTTTGGCATATGTTAAAATAGCACATGTTGTTTTAGTACATTATTTTATTTGGGTCACAATTATCTTTTTTGAGTCACATTACTTCTCTACCACATTATTTCAAACTTAATTCATATTTTACGTTTTTTAGTAAAAAATCAAAGAGTATACTAATCTAACAATTCATTATTTTGCCTTATTTTTGTTTTTCTTAGATTTCTTTTAAATTAAAAAAAAAAATCGATTTGTTTCGTTAAAATCTAAAACTTTAAAAATAAAA